GAACTTAAACACAGAGCAACTCAGCAGCCAAGTGTTGGGATAAAACAGAAGTCGAGTTTCTGAAAAGAACATATCTTTGAAGCCAGAAATGTTTAGCCGGAATTCTGAACTCACCTGCCCATTCACCACTGATTAACCAAGAACCAAAGAGGTAGCTTGATCCAGGCACCAGAACGATGAAGACAGTGAGCACACATGTGACTTCACTACAGCCAACAAGTCAGTCACCCTCCCTCGCACTCTAAAGATGAAGAATTTACAACCAAAGGCTACTGTTCCTCCACTGCATTTTCTTGCTTGGTACGTACACTGCAATTCACACTCCAGAAGCAAATCTCCTTTTGCAAGTTTCACATCCACACAGGGGTCAGGGACTGCCTTCTTCTTGTCCAAACCCTGATGGGGTCATGCCCAACAGAGCTGTGTTGGAGGGAGGCACTAAGTAGGTCTGTATCAGCTCAGTCCAGGGGTATGGCAGGCTGTCTGTGTCCATGACTGGCACTGGTGATAACTTGTGTGCTCACCTCTGACCGGGGAGAAGGCTTCTTCTACCTTTAAGCAATGATGTTTGAGTTCAGATGTTGTCTCTGTCAAAGGCAGACTTCCAATAAGCTATTCCTCTTTTTCATACCAGTACATGTGCATATACAAAGGCCCTGCTACAGAAATTTAAAAAGTAAGGAAGAAAATCACGGTGATCTACCAGGTCCTTCTCTCCTTCCCACCATTCAACTCAACTCATTTCCTGGATTCGCAAATGAGGAAACAACCTTTTCTAGCCATCATAACTCCTTCCACTGCAAATAATCTTCCTCTACAGATGGTATGCCCCACATCCTGGTATGTCTTTAGGACAAAGACAAGGTCATCTGTCTCAAGTGTGTGGTGAGAGCAGCCAGGCTGCCTCCGTTCTTTCTCATGCTTCATGGGGAAGAGTCGTTTGTATGGCAAAGACTGGCAGATCTATAGCAGTTAAGTTGACTGCTTGAGAACTGTTGGGATTGAAGAGGTTCAAAGGGCACCGGATCCAGCCTCAACCATCTGACCATCTAGCTGACATCAGCCTTTGCTTGAACCCTTACGGAGACAAGTACATTCCTTTTTTTTTTTTTTTTTTTTAAGATTTTATTTCTTTGACAGATAGAGACCTAGTGAGAGAGGGAACACAAGCAGGGGGAGTAGGAGAGGTAGAAGCAGGCTTCCCCCCTGAGCAGGGAGCCTGATGGGGGCTCGATCCCAGGACCCTGGGATCATGACCTGAGCCGAAGGCAGACGCTTAACGACTGAGCCACCCAGGCGCTCCGGTAAGTACATTTCTTTATTTGTGCACCTCCTCCTATATCACAGCCTTGGTGGTAGGCAGAGTGAAGGATGACCCAGAGTTTGCTGCATTCTGATTCCAGGGGCTTGATGTCTTTGGTATCCTTCTCTTCTGGACAAACTACCTTCCTCTTCTTTTTCTTTTTTTCCCTCAGGAGTTGTCTCCTCCTATTTCTGCCAAATAAATGAGTCTTGAGGTAGAATCCTGTTCCTTCTCTTCTGATAAAGACCAAAATTGTTTGCTCTTCCCTTTGTATGCCTAGGGAGGGCTGGACCAGAGCCCTCTTTTGTCTTCTTGGAGGAATGGGACTTCCCATTCTGACTCTGGGACCCAGAGGTGTTCAGCCTATGATCCAGATCTAGGCTTGGCTTTACTGAGAAAAGATGGGCTCTGGTTTAACTCTTCTGGCTCCCCAAGCCCAGTCACAGGGCCTGTGGCTGCAGCCCAAGTCATGACGTACAACAGTAGTTGGCTTTGCCACATCAGCTGTCTCCGAACTGGGTCGACTTTCCCTGCTGTTCCCTGCTGCTCTCAGCTCTTCTTTCCTCCTGAGCTGGGCCCACAGGGGCTGTGGCCCTGGCTGGGTCTCCCGTCCAGTTCTTGCCCCACTCTGCAATCTGAGCTAGGCTCTGAGTTTCATCATTAACATCCTTCTCCACTCTCACTGGTTTCCTGCCTCAGTTCTCAGATGGAGAACCTCAGGCTTGAAAATTTGACCAAGCACCTGCTGACAGCATGTTGCCGGTTTAGTTATTTGTGAGGCGTTGGTCGGGGGAAAGGGGGTGCTGTCAGGAAGCCGGGTTAGGATGAAGTAAGATAAGAAACCATCTTTTTCTAGAGCTGGGGCAGCCACAGTCAGGATGGTCAGCCACAGCCTGATAACTCCCTACACGCACAACCCCACAGCTCACTACTCAGGGGAAGCTCCTGCCAGGAAGGGTTCAACTGACGTGTCAGAAAATAGGACAGACGCTTCAGCAGTTTTTATGACCACCTCCCCGCTTTCACAGCAGGTTTCCTGGTGGTACAAACATCCATATCCAGTGGGTTTCATGGCAAACCCCAGGTATGCAATCCCAGGGAGGGACCCAGCTCCAGGGCACCAAGAACACCCAGCTACTCCGCAGTCTCCTTCCACCAGCGACCTCAGGGCACATGGAGACAGCACAGGCACCCAAAGATTCCAGCCAAGGACTGCAGGGGTGTTGTGCCTGGTCCAAACCAGAGAGTCAGTGAGCTGTGTCTTTCCTAACATGGTTACAAAGTGTAAGGACGGGACCTCCCAAGTGTGCAGCTCCTTGTGGGGAGTTCAGAGGACTTTCACCTACCTTGTCTTCTGGGATCATCATGACAACCCTGTGAGGTGGGCAAGGTGGGGTGTTCTTAACCCCTTTTAAGTGATGAAGAAACTGAGGCTTAGAAAGGGGAAGGGAGAGCTCAAGGTCACAGAGTAGGGCAAGGTAGGAGGGGTGTGGACTAAACCCTGGGTCCCCTGACTCCAGTTCAGTACTCAATCCACTAAGCCATACCCAAGACTTACAGAGGCATTGGGACAAGACTGTCCCAGGAGAAAAGACTTCCCAGCAACGTCCGCACCTGGCCAAAGCAAGCGCATCGTGCAGAAGCATCTTCACACCCACCACAGACGGCTGCCCCGACCTCCTTCCGCACAGATCCGGCGCAAGCCTCCTCCGCTGACACTGTGCTTGCACAGCACAAACCTTAGCCCTCCAACCACCAACAAGCCCTGGCGGAAGCTCAGGGGCAGGCCTGACTCCATCAACACAGCACTGGGGCCACAGAGCCAGACTCTACCTAGGCCAACCTCAGCCTCAAGCACGCTGTCCTGCGCAGAGCACCTTCCACTTTCCTGTCTCATCAAGACCACAGCCTACCTGGGTTTGGGCTCTTTTCCGACCATTTGTTAGAAACTTTCTGCCCCTTGTCCATCTCCAGACTCAACCTCCTTCCTTGGTTGTTGAATTTCACACGCCAGTGAATCAGCCAGCAAAAGCTCTCAAGCAGGACCCCTTTTCTCCCACCTCTTGGGGCCTAATGACTCTCCCACCGACCTCAGTAGTTCAGTGGTGTCTACGAAATGTATCCAATCGTGCCATCCGCACAGCACATGTGTTAATGAGCCCAGGCTTGGAAACAGCACTCTCTCCTTCCGTTCCCATTTGCTGATCTCCTGGGAACTCCTATTCCAAGCATCCCAAGGATGGGAAGGAAGAGGTGTAGCTAGCTGGGTGATGAAGGTGTTTATTGTTCAGTGGGAAGGGAGGGCCAGCCGTGCAAGAAGTGGAGTCTGAGGCAAGGTGATCAAGACACCCCTGGCCTCCCACACAAGCTCAGGCCTAGCCCCTGGAAGTGAGGAAATAGCAGGGAGATTACCTCGGTTACAGATACTGCAGAAGTTGCTGGGCCCCTCACTGTGCTTCTTCAGGTGATCTGCCATGTAAGCTGCCCGCAAGTACTTCCCACACACCTGGCAGGGCACCTTATCTTCATGACAGGCCAGGTGGGAGCGCAGACGGTCTCGAGTGGCGAAAGAAGCATTGCAGGTCTGAGGGCAGAAAGGAAAAGAGGATGAGGTGAAAACTGGCATTATACTCCTGACTCCCCACCAAGCACACCAGGAAACAAAAACTGTTTCACAAGGCCAACACCTGGAATCCCTGTATAAAGAGAGCTTTACATGTGGCCCATGCTTCCTCCCCAGAAGGCAAGCAAGCTGAGACACCTGAGTTGGGATTATTGGTTCCAAATGGCCACCACAGCATGCCCAGAACATGGTACACTAAGTGTCACACTCTTTTACAAAATAAAGATGAGGCATTTGTTTGTTCTTAAACATGAAGAGTTGACTTTAGTTGCACTGACTGTAAGTGAATGTATAGAAGTAAGCTGACATATGAACAGATCCGTCTTCCTGTCCTCCATCCTGGGTTTTCCCTACTTGCTTTATACAAAGAATTCAGTTTATCCACTGTATTAAAAAGTGACCTTAGTCTTGGCCACAGGGAAATGGAAAGGAAAGGATGGACAAAGCATACTCCTTATAATATTCTTGTGAGTTTGTATTGAGAAAGCAGCCCCTAAAACGATAGCGTCAACTCTGCTAATGTGAGAATTAGCAGAGCGAAGGAAGGCCACATGATTCAGAGCATTTGTGGGATGTTAAGCTGCGGAAGTGCTGGCAATAACAAGAATGATACCACCCCACATCGATCGAGCATGCATTCTGTGCCAGGCAGGTGCCATGATAAGCCTGTCAGAGGCACTGATCTCATGCAATCCATCCTTACAGGAGCCCTCTGAGGCAGGCTGTGTTATTACCCTCCGAGAGAATGTGGCCATAGAAAACTGTGGTGTGAGCACCAACTCCTAGCCAGTTCCCAGGAGCTGAGGGTCAGCACCAGCACTCTGGGAGGCAGCCCCAGGTCCCCAGGCATTTCCCATCCCTGAGGCCTTGACTCAGTCTCAGTCCCTGACCTCCAATGGCCCTTCCTCATCTAGGGGCTTGCCCAGGCACCCCAGCCTTGGAGGTCATAGAATGTCAGGGAAGTCATTGGGGGAGTTCAGCCTGGAGACTTTCAAAACTATTTTGGTTCCATGGAGGTGTTTCAGAGGTTCATGTCAAGTCTGACTAATTTTTCTATGTGTGTTTACTATTTAGAACTCCCACGAGAAAGCAACATTCCCCTCTAAGTGCATTACAGAGCGAATGTTAACCCATTGGAGAAGACCCGCCACCCCATTAACTCACTAGAATGGAGCTGCTCCTGCCGTCTCTGTTTAACAGAAGTACCTCCTGAGATCCCAGGACCTCAAGGTAAATGTCTGAACACCATCACCACGTACAAATGTTTATCTCCTTACTGTATACGGTCAAAGCAAGAAGCCAGTGTATGCGATACTGTGGAGGCCAAAGATTCTGCTGTTCCTGCTCCAATCCCAAATGTCTGTGAGCATCAGGGCCGGCTCTGCTGCTCTCAGTCATTGTCTCTAAGTGACTGCTACACATCTGAACAGCATACCTTATGCTAATGAAATACTGTCTTTATCTGTTTCATGCATTGAGTTGATTCATTTGACAAATGAGGAAGCTGAGTTTGGAGAATGATTGGCCCGAAGCACACGACTCAGCTACTAGAGGAAGCAGCAGTCAAAACCTTGCCGCTGCCAGGCCAGCACCCTCCCTACCCTCCCGGCTTCCCTGAGGTCTGCCTCCCTTCCCCACCCCACAGCTGGGCAGACAGAGGCCTGGAGGGGATCCAGGCCGGCTGGGATGTGAACCAGCCCCTGAGCCTGCGCTTTTCCCATTTCCAGACTCAGCAGGGAGAGCTTCTGGTGGGAAAGGTACGGATACTTTTTAACAGTGTGCACGGTGGCCAGGACTCCCCTGAAAGGGAGAGGTGACAGCATTTGTGCAGAGAAACTCTCGAGCACTTAGGTGACTCAGGAAGCATCCTGGGTGCTTGGTCTCATGGCCACTGGTGGGCCCCTCCTCAGTCAGGGACCTCTTGACCCAATCACAGACAACAGTGGGGGGAAAATTCCATCTTCCACCCAGCCCAGTGGCCCTGCAAACCAGAGCAAAGGCTGCCAAAAACACCCTGGGGGGAGAGGGGTGCACCTGACAAATTATCTGGGGGTCATTCACCAGCTATGCCAACCAGTGACCTGAGGACCAGCCCTCCAACAATGAGAGGCAGTGTGGTCTATGCCTAAGAACTCAAAGGAGCCAAACATGGACCAGGTGTAAGAAAATGCGGTGAAAGCACACATTCAGAATTTCATCTTCTGCAGTCCCCGGGAGAGGCGCCACTAGAGGGATGTGAAAGCAACGCCTTGTTTCTCCTGCCAACCTCCTTTTGGGGTCTGTCCTTTAAAGCACTGCCTGTCATACTGTGCTACCTAAAGATAATAGACAGCCAAACCTCAATTATCCACAAGTGGTTTATCCATTTGAGGGATTAGCTAGGCAAAATTAAAATCCCAGACCAAGCTGACTTCCCCTACCCCCTCCTCCATTGATTATCTTTCAAGGAATGAAAGCTAACTTTAGCCTGAGCAAACATAATTAGGAATGTAAATCTGCTGCTGGGGGGAAAAAAAAAACCCACAACACAACAAAAACTTTCACTGTATTACAAAGCCAAGCTGGAGTTGGCTTCTCTGAGCCAAAATTGACCCTTCATGGCTGCAGTCCCCAAGGTTTTTTGTGGGGGAATTGTCAAAGCGTACAAGCCCGAGTCTAGGCCTGTCAGAAGTTAGACAACACAGAACATAAAGAGCCTGGTTACATGACACAGAAGAGTGGCCAAAGGAGAGGCAGATCTCAAAGAAGGGGACACCTAGAATCTGTATACTGGGGCCACTCAGGAGAAAGGCACTTCTCATCCTGGAGACAGAGAGAAGACAGAGCAACCCTGATGGGACAAGAGCGAGCCAGCATAGCATGCTCTGATCACCCCTCATGTTCGGAATGGCCGCCACTTTGCCCTCCGCCCTGTGCACAGGCAGCCTGTTGCCGTCAAGAGCACACCTGCCAGGTCCCAGCCCAGCCACCCTGAGCTTAGGTCTCCTCTGGCCTTCCCCACTCAATACTGAGTCCCAGTCATGCTCCCTTCACTCCCCAAATAGTTTCTCCCCATCACAGAATGCCTAAAGCTTTTTTCCCCAAGGGCTGAGCAGCTCAGGAATGGGGCCCAAATGGTATCAGGGACACTAGCACACACCCAACCTTTGGTGGCCTTTGAAGTCTGGCAGCCTGGAGGTGGGGGGAAAGGGGGTGCGGTCTCAAGCAGTCTTTTTTATTATAGCCCTGGAAAAGTCTAACGGCAATACATGGAGGCCCACTGCCATTGGCCTCGCTGGCCCCTTCCTTCTTGGGGGTGTCAGCTCCCTTGTTCCCACTTCAATTCACTCTTTCTCTAGTGAGCTATCCTCCAGCCCAAACCACCCCAACTAGCCCCTGAGAAGTGGGGCCACTGCAAGTAATGGGAGAGGTCTTGAGTTGCTCTAGTCTCTTGGCTTCAGGCTGAACTCCATGTGGGGGAAATGTCCCAGCCCCACTGTGGTCATTAAGCCAGCAGCGCCTGAGGGCATCTGAGCCAGTTAAGGACACTCAGGCCAAGCCCTGAGGAGATTTGTGTGTCACTGACAAGCCTGAGGCTTCATACCCCAACATTCAGATGGTCTTTTCACTCAAGCTGTGGCACCAGCCTCTGTAACTGGCCCCTTTTGTCATCTGTGGCATCAGGAAGGGTGGAGAGGTATAAGCCCACGCCCAGCTCTTGCCCAGGGAACCAACTCCCAAAGAGCCATCTCTTCACCTCTGATGCTTTCAGAATACACACCATGCAAAACATGCCCCTGTTGTTTAACCAAGCCCAGGCACACTGGCCAGCCAGCCCAGAGCATGAGAGCCAGCATGTCTTCACCTGCTGGGTCATCATTAGGGGAGTTCTGGCTAATGGGGCTGGAGGTGGGGCCAGCAGGTCTGTGTGTTGGAGGCGCGGGGCAGGGCAGGAGTGGGCTCCTTACGTACACCGTACACCGAGGGACAATGATGTCAGTGTTATGACAGAGACCAAGGACAAAACACACAAAGCCTCAAATGTTAGAATGAAAACTTTTATCATCACTCCTGTTATCCCCGCGGAGGCTGCGGGGGCTAAAGGGCATATCACTGGGATCCGGGCGGGGGGGGGGTCTACATCTGCTTTATCAGCCCCCAAAGCCGTATATTGGTTAAAGCTACTGGTTAGTCTAGTTCCTGAGTAGACCTGCTAGTAAACCTCAAAAACACAGAAGTCTAATTCATTAGCCAGAAATGAAAGCAGGACCTGTCTGAGTGGGAAGGGAAGAGGGCAGCATGGGTTGACCCAGTTGGAGTTGCTCCATTCTCCTCTGGAGGGGGATTCACCCCTACAGTGGGGGGAGGGGTGGCCAAGCCCCATTCTAGAAACCCCACACCTTGCAGGAGGTGATGCTAGGAGAGGGGAAGCACATAAGTCCGTGACTTGGTTCTTGGGAAAGCACCAACCCCTAAAATCACCCAGGCAAGGACAGATACCCAGGGGTGCCATCTGTTAAAGGGGGAGAAAAAGACAAGAGAACCCAGAAAGAAACCTGGAGGCCATGGGGGGGACCCAGAAAGGAGCTCCTTACTACCCCTGGGGTCCCTGAGCTGGGAAAGACTCCAAATCATACAGGAAGGAGCTGGGCATGGTGGGCAGGAACCATTTTGCTGGCCTCTCCCAAAAGCAGGGGTCTCAGAGCAACCGCCGTTCCCATTCCCCTCCACAGAAAAACCCTCTCTGGGGAGGCCCAGGCTAGCCTACAGGCCACTGGGTAAAGGCCCGGCTGCCTTCTGAGGCAGTCCAGCCCTGCCTCAGATATCCCGGCGGGGCTGGGCAGAAGAGAGCGCTGCTGGAGTGTGCTGGGCCCAGGTTTTCGAGGGCTGGGAATGATTTTTTTAGAGAAAGGGAAAAGGCGGTGTCAGGAACCGAATGGGACGACCTCCACAAAGCAGGCTGGGCAAAGTCCCATGATGGCAGGTCGCTAGGAAGAGATTCCAGGGGCGGCAGGCCGCTGCTGCTCCCAACCCACACCTGGAAAAAGGGCAGAGAGTGCAGGTTACCCCCCCAGGCCATTGGGCACGCCCCCACTGCCCTCTGGGCTCCTCCTACTCTGCCAGGCTGCTCAGCACGCTACCTGGGAGAGTCAGAATGTGCTCCGTGATTAGAAAATCAGAGACAGAGAGAAGGCAGCGAGGCACAGACGGATCCCAGCATGCCCACCCTGGGTCGTCGTCCTCGGGGGAGGCCACCTAGCCTGGCTGGCTGTGAACACCGTCCACACCTGGCCCCTGGGGGCTCACTGCCTGACCTACAGCACGTCCATTCCTCCCTGCAGGGCTCCCTGAACCCTCCCTCCTTGCCACCAACAGGATAAGAGAAGCAGGTTATCCTACCAGAGACTGTAACAAGCACCCCACCACTCTGTCTCCCCCTCAGATGGCAGGAACTTGGCATAGGAAGGGGGATAGCCAAGGAGAAGAAACCGGTGTTTTCCATCCACACAGGAATGCTCAGTGGCCAGGAGAGGAAATTCAATTTTCTGGGTAACACAGGGCCCCCAGATCTTGCTGAAGCAGACAAACCAAGAGTGAGAATCTTACCCAGCCTTCCCTAAACCTACTGCTACACAAAGAGCTCACGGGGAGAGGAAACCACCTTGCTCTCCAGTCCTTAGAAGCCCTGGCTGTTTGCACACATGGTTCAGGGTGGGTTAAACAGGTGCTAGTGCACCTGAATCAGAATCAGACCATCCACTCTTATCCTCCTCCACTGTCGTTCCCACTGCCACCCCTCGTGCCCTAAGCTCAGGGGGACCCAGAAGGTCAGGCTGCCCGGCAGACAAGGGGAAGTGTTGTTAGCTGGACCACCAGGAGCTCTTTACAAACCCTTGCCTCTCCACGGTGGCTCCTGCAAACTGCTGGGAACCAGAAGCCAGGCCCAATGGGGAGCCGGTGCCCCCAGGACGACATGTGTGCAATGTGGCCCACCATCCAAGGAGCTGGCAAATGCCAGGAGAGGAAAAGCCAAGCAAAAGACAGAGACAGGGTGGGAATCAGGACCCAGCAACCAGGAAGGAGGGGACACCAGCGGTGGGGGGGAGGGGGCCAGGGGGAAGAACAAAGGAGGAAAGCAGACGAGGGTGGATGGACAGAGGGGGAGGTGTGCAAAGCGGTGGTGGTCAGTCAGCCAGCCCAGCACACACATCAGCTGGCTTGTGGCCGGGCTGTGAGAACAGCAGTGTTGTCTTTCAGCCCATCTCTGCCCTGGCCCCGACCCCTACCTGACACTTGTGAGGCCGCTCAGAGGTGTGCACCTGCTTGATATGTCCATTCAAGTGATCAGGCCTGGAAAAGAGAACCAAGAGAGACTTTAAAACAAGACCTCAAAAGATGGGGCCGCAAACTTGGCCAGACTCCCCACCTGTACCTGCACACACACGGATGGAGGGGACTCCCTCTTCCCC